GGACATTTAACAAATTTGTTAAATTGTCAATTTATAACAATGAGTCATAATCCCAAATAATGAAAACCAGATATAGATGTAAACAACTTCTTTCCAGACACCATCATCTTTAACCAGAAATATTTTCTGATCAAAATTGGGCTTAACAATACAGTGAATACTTTTTCAAAATAGCCAACTATCTAACATACTATAAGCTGACTGTGAATAAAGTGATTTGGGATTAAATTGAGCAATGTTGTGACATTGTGGGATTCTGAAAATCACACCAGATCTTTCTCTGAAGTTGTTGAACAAAGCATGAAAACCCAGATTATTTCTCCTAGATATCTTTTATCCCTTGGAAATAAAAAGGAAATGCTCTGAGAGAATCAGAGGCTTTACACTAACTATTTTTGCTTTATTAGACAGACCATTAACAGTATCAGAAGACTTCTTGCAATCCAGTTTCTGATGTTACTTTTAGCATCAGAACAGATCTGAATAAAGACTGTTTAATTCTGCTGCATAACGTGGCTTGTTTTCAGAGTTTAACAACATGCAGAGGCAGAATGTTGCATTGCCACTGGTGTTGATATTGCATCATCACAGTATCATAGTTGTAACAGACTAAACAAAATGTGCTGCTACAACAAAGGTAAAAAAACTTTTTTTATATATAAAAACAGAAATCTAAGAAATAACTTTCAAACAATTAGAATAAAAATTTTATCACTTAAAAAGCAATTAGTAAACCCGTGCCTGGTCAGGACAAGGTACAAATGCTAATAAACAATACAACGTAAATTTCAATGTGATTAATTTCAATAAATATCAAAGAAAGTAGGAAAAAGAACCAGCAAAATAAGAAACCTAATTCACCAGAGAATAACACAATGTTTCAAAATTAAACCACTTCTCAATATAAAGAACAGTATCGAGCAATAATTCTTTCTAACTGTATCTTATAAACATACCCATTTTCAAAATGAAGGAAGGCTTTTTATTTAGTGGATAGACCATGAGGTTACATCTTGTGACTACCTATTAACCTAAATCTACATAATATTTCACAACATTAATATTTGTTCATCATCACTAGCAGTTTTATAATACATACTCAAACAAAATCAATGTGCTCTAGATAGAAGGTGATTTATCACTTTAAGGAATAATAAATGAATGGTAAACAAAATATAATTAAAATTTGCAATCTCGCCCAGTGACCATTACAGATTTTAAATTCCCAATCTCTCAGTTAATCAGTATTTTATTTTGCCCAGTATTGTAATGCATTTCAAACAACAAAATTGTTGCTTGTCTGAAATGATGAGGCAACATGTATGATTTTGTCCTTTCTTGCCAATTTTGTGCTAAAATTCCAAACAACTATGGCAGATGTTCATTGTTCTTTTTTGGAATATTGAACTGAAAGTTTCAAATAAAAATTTCTTTTGGAAATAAGTTTTATATTTATTATCTACAAAGACTATTATAGATATAGTATCATACTAGTTACTTGGCACATTGTACAGGAGACTTCTTAACTTAATTTTAATTTTATACACATCATCAAGAAATAATAGTTCCATTACAATGGCTTCAGAGTAATTGCAAGTAGCTTTGGAACATGCCTGCTAAAGAGGGTGCTCCAAAGTTATTCCTAATTTCAGGTTGCTGAACCATAACTTCAAACCCTGTGTAGACCTGATTTGGCATCTTTTATTTCATTGAATTGGAATATGATTTGACTTGAAAATAATATTTACATTTATTAATTATTTTGTCTAAGGCAAGATTTTTCAAACGTTTTTTTGCTGGTCCTCCCATTTGAAAATATTTCATTCTATGATGACCCTTGCCGCCACCACAATAATAGCAAATTAGTGTACACATGGCTATATTAAAGGTGGGGCAGAAAGAGCAGCTGCACCTGGGCCCTGATCATAAAGAAATTTTTATGCTATTCTACTGCCCTGGGCCCCATCTGACCTAAATTCACCCCGAATTTACATACTCTAAAACATCCATTATTACAATATTTTGTATGATATTGTGATGCTCCTACAATAACCTTGCAACCCTCTTTTTGGTTGGAACCTCTAGTTTGAGAAATGGTGGTCTAAGGGATCAACCAAGGCTCTCCATCTATACATAATATATCAAAGCTCACATAATCACTGTGTAAGCTTGTTATTTTCTATTGCTCATGCTCATGACATTTTTGATCTGGCTTTTTAGAAATTACTTCTATTTTGATAGGATTTTATAGTTATTACATTTTTACACTGTGCATGTCTTATTAAATATGCCTTATAGGCTTATGCATTTTGCAGTGTTCACTGACCCAAAGTATTAAAGTCACTTATTCTCTAGCCAATTACTGAATCAAGCTACCTTTGTCCATACCAACTTGTGTTGAACTATTTTTGCTGTTATTTTGGGGTTGTTTTTGAATATTTTTGCTACAGACTACTTTTTGGACAAAACTAGTTAACTACAGTCACATGAGAAGTTGAGACCAAATAGAGAAATGTACTTGCACACCATAGTTTTGGAACTGGAGCTGAGCGAACTAACAGATTAATCAATATAATCAATTACCTTTGAGCAATGATTACATCTATTAGTTTTTTATAAACTAGTTCATTTATTAATTAATGTCACGAAAATAACTGAATGATTGAAATAAGTGTTTCTGGTTATTACTGGTTTTGATTATTCCAGCAACCAACTAATCAAAATTATGATTAAAAGATTGTCATGAAGATAAGCAAATAATTGAAATTAGTGTTTCTGATTATTATAGGGTATACAGGGTATGAACCCACATGTTTGAGGAATTAATTTATGTCTTATTTAATTTTATATAAGCAGGCACAAATATATGGGGAGGTTTAAATCCCCCTTTGTTTTTTTCAGAAGTTAATAAGAAAAATATCCAGTTACTTGTCACTACCATATATCAAAAAGAAACAATATATGTCAATGTTTTTATTTGAATGGGCTATTAATTATCATAATAATTTTTTTTTAAGGTTTTCAAAAATAAACACAGCTGGGGTCTTATTTTCTAAATATCATTTTAAATAATTATAATTTAATTTTAATTAAACATTTTGAAATATTATATCCAACTAATTTTATATTCATATCTATCATCATTTCTAGAAATAAGCTTTGAAATTACTGCATTCTAACCTGACTAAGCAAATCATTTACAGAATATACAGTAAAAGCTTTGTTATCCAGCATCTTCAAATCTGGAAAGCTCTCGTAACCAGAAATTTCAATATCTTCAAATATGAATGCTCATTGTAAGAACTGGCATTCACCCAGAATGTCTGAGAATGCTCTCGAAGATTTTTAGAAGTTTCGATTGTACTTTACTGATGCTGCCACTTAGTGGTGCTGTTGTGGCTTTGTTTAGGTTCTTTCCTGCAGAAAAGTTTCAGTTGTTAGCCACCTCTACTGTGATTCACATTGTGCTTACATTATCTGTAAATATTTTCTACATCTTGAACTTAAAACTTTGAAAACTTTTATCATTGCTACGGATGATGTAGAAATACTGTACTTTCAAACATTAATAAGGTCTCAAAATTTTTCATGTAAAATGTCATAAAGGAAATGCTTTTGCAACTGAAATTTTCACCTATCTGGCACTGCCCAGGTCTGGCAGATGCAGGATAATAATGCTTTTACTGTATTAACAGTATTTCAACTTGGGTTACTTTAGGACAATATGGTCAATACTGATTATTCCCAAATATTATATTTTTGTGGTGGAAATTCCTTCTTTCATATAAAAATTACAAAAGAATTGGTTTACAGACCTACTCATCTAACTTTTAAAAAGTTTACTGGTGCCACATCTTTATTGTAAAAATGAAACCTCACTAGAGCTAGTGTGGGGAATACAAACATTTTATGGCAATACAATAATACTATATTATCTGAATAGACTTTCTGGCTTTATTCTTATTCATTCCTTAGTTATTTTCACACCTTGTAAGATAAAGCTATAACTATCAAAAGTTTTCTTTTACAAAATAAATTGATGTTATTCTAATTTATATGCTCTTTGACTTTAAATTTAGGCTACAGAAAGAACAGTAAAAGTACCAGGTTTTCACTTTAGCTAAATACTCATTTGTCTTAGAAATAAAATTGGTTATAATTATTTCCCTCGGTTTGTTACAAAACATTTTAAATAAGTGTCTAGTTATAAATACAACACTTATGGCCCAAACATTGTCATAAACACACTTATAAAAGTGTAAAACAATACTTAATTGTCTGGAATAACAAGTATGAAAAGTGCACAAAGTATTGTTGCTACAGGTGACTGATAAATGAATACAACTGTTGCGTTGTTTGTATGATACATATTCATGTACAAAGTTTAGGAGTGAAAAGAAACTTAATTGTAAATTACTGTGGCTGAAGTCTGAAGACAGGGTTTTCTCTGGCTTTTCATTTATTTTGCCATTTGATAAACTTTTCTGACAAATTTTAAGTTCAATTTTATATTTTAATATTAACTACATTTCAACTATTTTAACGCAAAAATATTTTTGAATCAATATTTTGGCATTTTCTGGTATTCATTTACTGTAATTTATGAAGAGAAAAGTTCATAAAATTTTTGTACAGCTGCAAAGTGTTTTGCCTCTAAAAAAGCAACCCAGTTTTTGATTAATTTAGAATTTCTCAACTCACCAAGCCATTAAACCTACATCATGACTTCCATAATTTCTGAAACATTACAATCACACAGAAAATCAAACAAAAAAAGTGTTGAAATTGATTATATTTTGGTAAATATATTACAAAGATGAATACCATTACTGAATTGTATTGTTTGATATAAATAGTGTAATGTTGACAATGATTGTTTTTCATAAAACATGAACATTTCATAATAAATGTCATATCATATATGAGAATGAGGCATTTTTGTGATATTAGATTCAGTTAAAACTTTATAAAATGCATATTGTTTTTCTGCTTGCAAATAGGTAACCTGGTCTTGATTCAGCAATCCAAACAAATAATCATGATTGGTGGACTCTTTATATATAACCACAAAGGAGAAGTTCTTATTTCTCGTGTCTATCGAGATGACATAGGGTAAGTAGTCACTGTTACGTACATGTTTAACCAGTGTGTACAGGTACCCTTGTTCCATATATTAATGTCTTAGTTTGAGTAATTGTGTTATTATGTAACTTCTTTTAGGCCTGATTTGATAAATACATATTTGATAAAACTTTTGTGTGAGAACAAAAAAAATCTCAAAGCAGATGTTTAAAATGTTGAGAAATAACTAGATATTGTAAAGCTTACAATTTACAGGTATATGATAATGAATTACTTAATTAAAATGGGGGGCTGTAATTGTAGAGAGTAAGGTAGATGTGTATTTGGGAAAAGTGAACCTTGAGTGTTCTGAAGTATATTGGAGAAAATTATAGATATGTTATTTTGAGTTTGAGATGTTTTTGATAATATGCTTACTTCCAACACTTGATATGTCGAAGAAAAAATTGTGAATGCCTCATAGTTTATCGGGAAAATGCAAAGAGGTTATAGTTATGGGAGATTTAAGTTTAGAACTATTCACGTGGATTGTGAAGATTTTGATAGTAAAAGTGATATAGTATAGGACATTTTAGTTCTGATGAATATCTTGGTAGCATGCGTAGATCAGAAGTTAGGGATAATTAAGTAAAACAAAATAAAAAAAAATGCTATAATTTCAAATCAAATCAGAAGAATGTTCTTCCTTGTTAACCCTATCTGCACCAATGAGCATCCTATTTTTATGCACAGCTTTAGAAGTCTTACCTGTAATCAATGCAAGTTTGTTTGGTTTTTAGAAATTTTCTATCCATTCTATAGTGTAGGTTTGTTTGGTAAGAAACTATCATTCCTCAAGGTTTACATTCTTACCCAATTTTCCTTTTCTTTCTCTGGTGTTATTATTACAGCCTTTCATTGCCACCCTTTTATGACCTTGCATCATGTAATGTGAACAGCTACAATTTATTTACACATGAGAAGAGTTTAGCACCAGTCAAAGCATAGGCTGTCCTTTAATTGTGGATTCCTGTCACAGCACATTTCTCATTGTGCAGTTCAGGGTGACAACTAGCCAGAAGCAGCAGCTTTTACTTTGTACCTTATTATCATTAATTATTTTGTATAACATTTAATGTTATAGTAATTTTATATTTAATCACTGGGTATCCAATGTAAATATATTATTTTAAATCTGTTACTTCCACTACTATTTTATTCTTGGGGTGTTTGTCACTGGCTTTCCACCCTCCAATAATCACCTCATGGTTTGTCTAGTTATAATGCATAATTCAATTTGAGTTGCAACTGTTCTTTCCACATACTTCTGTACTTGCTAAACTTCATACTTCTGCCTACTTTCCTTCAGTCTTTCTTTTGGCTAGTGTTATTCCTTATCAGTTGCTTGTTCAACTTTTGACACATTAGTTTAATACACTTTATTATACCACTGACTGTTCTTGTGGTACATATCCTCTAAAGCAAGAGAAAATTTTTGATTTGTTATAATAAATGTTGATGTTAGTTACTTTGCCTCAGCTTAAAACATACTTCAGGTTTTATTTTGTTGTAGGTAAAGTATACATCATAAATGGATTGTTGGATTTTGTATGGAGATAAACTTGCGAAGTTGTTTTTCTTTCTTCCTCAGGAGAAATGCTGTGGATGCATTCCGAGTAAATGTCATCCATGCTAGGCAACAAGTTAGAAGTCCTGTGACAAATATTGCCAGAACCAGTTTTTTTCACATAAAAAGGAGTAACATATGGCTTGCAGCAGTCACTCGACAAAATGTTAATGCTGCAATGGTGTTTGAGTTCCTCTTGAAAATGGTAGATGTGATGCAGTCATACTTTGGTAAAGTCAGCGAGGAGAATGTCAAGAACAACTTCGTTTTGATTTATGAACTATTGGATGGTGAGAAAGTTCTCAAAAATTGTTGTACATATTATACCATAAGTTGTTAAACCAAATACATACAAGAATGTCAAAACTTAAATACTCTGTTTTAGAGAAATTCTTGGCTTTATTGTTTGGATATTATTTCTTGGAGGTTTTATGAGCTAGAACTCTAAGTTCTCAGAATGAAAGCAGGACTCAGCTTTTTCCAATGTTGTCTGAAATACAAACATTGGTAGATGCTATTTATAAAAACTCCAAGAAATGGTAAAGCAGTTTTGTTTATAGATAACTTTTCAGAAATGATGTACTTATATACCATACAAGCAATATTTTTTGATGTTTGGAAAGATTACTATTGTTGGGCTGGAATTTTTAAGCTTTTAATATCTTAAAATACTTTCTAGTCAGTATCTTATTATTAATTCTTAGTTTTATGTTTTTATAAATACTAGATATGCTGGAGCCAATGGAAACATACTTGTGTTTCTATAAATATTATATATATTTGTCTGAATGTAATGAGTGTTTCTTTTTATATAATCATTTGTTTCTCATAAAATCAGATCTTGTGACCCTTATCTTTAAGTATCATTACTTGTTTTTTGTTTACTCACATATTTTTACAATACTGATTTTATAAATATAGCTTGAGGCTGTTTTTATCATTTTCCTGTAATATAGGTCTGTGATATGCAGGCATATCATATATTTTCTACCAGTTTTTATTAATATGGGAATTTGAAAATATTTTTTCATTTAGTCTGTTTCTGTGCAGTTTTGGCATAAACATGTTATCCAGAAAATGTTCAAGTTATTTCATTATAATTACGTTTATGTCATTGTTCTTCTCTAGTAAATGGTATTGACATTGCCTGTGGAGATGTTGCTATAACTTTGCACATTGTTTAAAAAACAGGTCACTGTGCTTCTTTCCACGCTGATTTTTCCAAGCCCGTTCCCTTCAGTGGTTGAGTAGATGATATTCAGAGTTTACAGTCCTTGTATGTTGTATAAGAATGATTATTCACAGGGTGACGCTTGTGGGTGAAATTAAGGTAACATTTTTTTTGTAAGGAGCATTGGTTCTACACAGTTCTGCTTGGTTATTAACATGAATAGTTCAATGAATATACATCTCAAGAAACTACAACTGTTGATCCAATAGGAAGGTGATTCTCCAGTGTATTATGCAAGTATGCACACTGTTTTTATTTCTTTGTTTTGTGGTATAAGTATTGTTGGCCACTTTTTATCATGTGTCCAGTCTGTTTATTCTCTTAGCTTAAACATTAGCCATTTAGTTAAATACAGTCCTACTCCATGGTTATCCTATATGAATCTCTTGTTATAAAATGGACCTCTCTAGTATTTCTATGGAACTTAGGTAATCTGAAAATCTTACAAGCATTTATGGCTGAAATTTTTGTTCATGGTAAGGGTATCCAACCAATGATTCATTGCACTCTTGAGCATTATAGATTTTAGTTGTATTATGTATTTATTATGACATTATATACTTATTCACAGTTTTCTTGTATAGAATTAACTTCCTTAATTTATAAGGTACTTTATGAGAAACTATGCATAATTGTGGAACTCAACTGATGTGAGTTATAACATCTTAGGTGAACTAACTTTTTTAATGTTTTTACAATTTTATAGAATAATGTTACTTTTTTGAAGAACTAACTGTTTTCTCTTTTGTTAAAGTGGTATAAGTTTTCCTTCACTCCTAGGCACAAACATAGCTTCTGAGGCAGTACACACCTTTTCACACAGAAAACTATCTTCTCTGTGCATCTGCCTTAGAGATTTATATGTTATTTGCCTTCAGGCAACTCCCATCTAAACTCACAAGATTTATCATGAAATGTACTGCTGCATAATAATGTTTTTATTCAGCAAAAGCCCTCCACCAATAGGACAGCCTCTCTGTGCACTAGCTCCCTCTATGATTTTGTACTCACAATTTTCATTCTATTACTCAGCACTTAACACATCATACTTGTTTTCTCTTTGTCAATTTAAAGAGATTTGCTATGTATAGAAAACTTAATTTCATTCTCTTTGTCTTCAAAATAACTATGTAAGTGACTAACTTCTTCACACAGGTGGTGTAAAAATTATGGCTTACGGAGGAATGTTCCATGTGATGATGTTGCAATCATTGTGAATAGGTTAGAGGGTTCCCTAATGTTGCCAGATCCTTCAGCTTCACTCCCTTATTCAAGCATTCCTTTCCATTGTTTGTGGGGTGATTGAGGAGGATAAATTTGATTGTTTTTTCACATCCTTAGACTTTTGGAACTTCTCTCCCTGTGGAAGAGAAACTTCAACTTTCTAGCATTCTTTGGCCTTGATTTATCAAGTATGCTACTTTCCTTTTATTTGCCATGTGTTATGTTCTTTTTCTTGATCCCTACTTTTTAATCCTAATCCTAACTCATTTTGCTTCATGGACCATATACTGTTTTGCAACACCAGGCCTCACCCTTCCCATCTATCTGCTTCTTATTTCCTAGAGTTTAATATATCTCCACTATGCATGTCTTGATTTGATCCTTTTTTACCACACTTCTTTATCTCTCCTCTCTACACCTCCTATATGAAGCACAGTGACATTTGTGGGTGATTCTTATTCCCTTCACTCCTCCACTTTGGCTGTTCCACTTCTACCATTCCCTTCTCACTCACCTCCTTGTTCTGTGGGTTTTGGGCAGAAGTACTTTTCTATCTCAAGTTTGACTTTCTTCTTCTCTTCTTTGATTTCTACACCTAGCTCCTTTCTTTGCCTTGAAGTTTGGTGCTATTCCTAATTTGATTCAATCAAAGGCTGAAGCTGTCTGTCATCAGTCTTTACTTTTGTACGTGGTTTCTACACTGTCCATAACCTTACCTCCACTTTTACATCTCATCTTAGTCCCTGGTTCCGTATCCTTAAAATCTTCACTTTCTATTCTATCTGGCATCAGACTCAATGAACTCATTGGTGACTTTTCCATCATGTTGGGTCCCATGGGTGCCTGGCTGCCATAGTTTGAGCTTTTGTGATCACACCTTTCCATCCACAGAGAGTTTCCTGTTTTTTACACATGGACTTTCTCTTCCATTCCCTTCTCCTTTCTGCCCTCATCTTGTTTCTTTCTCCTTCCACTCCTATCTGTGTTCAATATCTCTTCAAGGCTGTGTTTGTCACCAATTCCTTGTTTTCACTCAATATCTTATTTATCAGGGGATATGGGTGTTTCAACTCATTCTCTGCTGGGAACAGCCTTTTCCCATCTGACTGCAAACTATGAACTTTGCAGTCACTAGGATTCATGCCTATCCTACTCATTCTGCATATGAGGTTGAGTGTTTGGTGACCATGATTTCATAGGGACTACCTATCTGTTTGGGTCACACACATATGTACCTTGTCCTCCATTCCTTGCATGACCAGAAGCTCATTTCATAGGATTCTTTGACCTCAATGGTTCTCCTGTCCCTTCCTCCATTCTAGTATTGGCTGGATGGCTGGATTGATCCAGTATCACCCTCTGTGTACCATTACCTCCTACACTGGTAATACACCTTTTCACCTATGCTTCTTCCTCTTGTTGTGGAGCATCCCTGAATGTCAATTTTACACCTGGTACATGGACCTTGGATGAGTCCTCTCTCCATTTCCACATGCTTGAGTTTCTGGTAGACAGTCGGGCATGATCCCATTATTATACTCTTAGTGGATCATTTCATTTTGTTCCTTTTCGACAACTTAGCTATTCTTTAATTAATGGTGAAAGTCTTCCGGATATATCCGGAAACCCGGATATTTCTAAAAAATCCTGAAAACCACCGGTTTTCTTCCGAAGAAACACATTTTTTAAAATTATTTATC